CCCCCTCTTCTTTTTTATGTTTGTTACTCTCTTGTTACACCTCTAATCTTCTGGCGCTCATCGCCTAATGCAGTTGTGTTATTTTAATGAAGACTTGTAGAGGAAATAATCAGAAATTGTGCAAAAAATGATTAAATTTTGCTTAAATTAAAATTTTGCGGGGTGCACAAAACCACGGGGATAGGGTCATGTTCGCACCACAGAATCTATGTGGGTGGTTGGCGGTTGCTCTGGTGTGGTTTGCCCCTTCCTTCAAAGCAAACATCTGTTGTCCTTATCTCTCCTCCCTTTTTTGTGTTTATTACTCTCTTGTAACATCTCTAATCTGCCACACTTATTATTATTTGATCCAGGCTACAAGACCTATCTGGGTTGCAAGTGCTGTAAAACTCTTACTAAAACAACAAAAAACCCAAGGACGTCTGTGGTGTAGTACACGTAGTGTGGCGCCCTTCCAGTTCTAACCTTATGCCATGACCTTATGCAGTTGCGAGCGCCGTAAAACCTATTAAAACTAAACAAACTAAAAACCAGACACCACAGCACGTCACAAGGATGTGGTTTGCTTCTTCTTTCCTATCGAACATCTTTCTTCTTTTTTGTGGTTTTTACTCTCTTGTATTCTTGTAGCACCTCTAATCTTCTGGCGCTCATATGACCTTATGCAGTAGCGAGCCCTGTAAAACTTCTACTAAAACTAAAACTAATCTGCCACACTATATCTAGGTTACATGACCTATCTGGGTTGCAAGTGCTGTAAAACTCTTTCTAAAAACCCCAAAAGACGTCTGTGGTGTAGTAGTTTGAGTTTGAGACCCTTCACTTGCAGTGTTGGGTAGAACTACTAGAACTTGAGCTGTGCCAGGCGCCACAGCCCTGGTGAGGTGGGTGGTGGTTGGCGGGTGCTCTGGTGTGGTTTGCTCCTTCTTTCTTATTCAACATCTATCGTCCTTATCTCCCCTTCTTTTTTATGTTTGTTACTCTCTTGTAACAGCTCTCATCTTCTGGCGCTGATATGACCTTATGCAGTAGCGAGCCCAGTAAAACTACTAAATCTTAAAGTCTAATCTGCCACACCTATATAGGCTACATAATAATAATAATTGCATTTATATAGCGCATATCCACGCTCAAAAGCTTGCTCTATGAGCTTTACAATACAACTATTATTACCCCAGCATACCCTCTGAGAACACTCATAAACATTCTCAGCTTCCACGGAAGCATACAGTGCGAGCTGCGGATTTCACGCGCTCAAACACCATCAAACTGACAAGATCTTTCACTGTCTATAGCTGGGTACCCATTTCCACTTGGGTGAAGTGAGGAAAATTTGTGCAAAGTGCCTTTCCCAAGGACACAACGTCGGGCCCCTGACGGGATTCGAACCCACGACCTTACGGTTGCGAGTCCGAGAGCCTAACCACAAGGCCACCGACGCCACATGACCTTTCTGGGTTGCAAGTGCTGTAAAACTCTTTCTAAAAACCCCAAAAGACGTCTGTGGTGTAGTAGTTTGAGGCCCTTCACCAGCAGTGTTGGGTAGAACTTGAGCTGTGCCAGACGCCACAGCACAGCACAATGTTGGTCAAGTTGGTGGTTGGCAGGTGCTCTGGTGTGGTTTGCTCCTCTTCTTTCCTATTCAACATCTATCGTCCTTATCTCCCCTTCTTCTTTTTTATGTTTGTTACTCTCTTGTAACATCTCTAATCATCTGCCGCTCATATGACCTTATCATGCCTTATGCTGTAGCGAGCCCAGTAAAACTTCTACTAAAACTAGTAAACTAAAAGTCTAATCTGCCACAATTACATATATATAGATATATAGATATATATAGATAGATATATATATATATATAGGGAGTGCTTATTTAGGCCACATATTTCTGTGACTTTGTATAAAGGTGTGGCCTAA